TTCGGGGCACCAGAGGAAGCTCTGGGCAGATTAGGAGCCAGTAATGTTGCTTTAATGTGCGGATTTAAATGATGATGGAAAATTAACAATAATCCATAAACAGCCTCACAGCAGTACATATTGATCCCCACAGAGCTTTTGACATTCTTATTTTTGTCAAGGCAAAATCTTCTAAAAAAATATGTGTGTAGTCAAAAACTCAGTTTAACTTTTTAATTCACTTGTTTATGTCATTGTTTCCAAAGTGAGTGCATCAAAATGTCTCCTAGCATACGTTAGATATTGTAATTTCTGTAACGTCTCCTTAAGATGACTCTTCCCTGCAGATGCTGCCTGGGCATCAACGCTGTTAATAGGACTAGCACATTATTTGTCCCTCGTTAATCTTTCCTGTAGGTCTCAAACTACAAACTTTGGAGCTGAAAAATGAATTGAGTGAATAAAAATGTATTTCCTTGCATCCAAAAGTCGATCCCTGTGGACTCGCACGTAAAAAGGTTGGACGTTTCCAACAAAGAGCAGACAGTTTACAGCCTCGTGCAACAAAATGATTGTGATCCCTGCAGCTATATTTGTCCATTATAACAACTCTCTGGGCTGAATTTTCTTTATAACTAAGCCTTTCAGGGTGTTTTTAAACCTTAAAGTTTCTGTTTTTAAGGATATCGCATTAACTGATAGCTGGTTGCTAACTAGGCTGATAGATTTGTGTTAGGACTTACCTCGATGTTCCGAATCACTGAACTAGATCAGTCCACCATGTTTGTTACATTTATGTTTTTTTATTTTTATAGCACGTTTAATTACAACAGCAACATTGACCAGTGCTGTGCAGAAACACAAAATAACTTGTATTAAATAACTTATAATATTAGTAACAAATACCAAATAACTCTCATACTGTATTAAAAGCCTGTGAATACAAATGTGTTTTAGATGAGATTTTAAAAGGAGCCTGTCTGATGTGTAGATTATTCCACAGATTAGGCGCTACGACTCCAAATGCTCGATCACCTCTGTGAACCAGCCTAGACCTTGGTATGGCTGAAATCAAAAGATCATTTGATCTAAGAGATCTAGAGAGCGCATAAGGCTGCAAGAGGTCAGACAAATACCCGGGAGCCTGTCCATCTAGGGCTTTGTAAGTCAACAATAAAATTTTAAAACCAATTCTGAAGTGAACAGGGAGCCAGTGAAGAGAGACAAGCACCGGGGAAATATGTTCAGAAGACAAGCTGCAGCATTCTTGACCAACTGCAGTCTTGCAAGGCTGGTCCGACTAACCCCAACATTTAAGGAGTTACGATAGTCCAGCTGGGATGTAATAAAAGCATGGAAATGATTTCACCTTAGATAAAAGCCTCAGTTTGAAAAAAGACCACTGTAGAACTGAGCTAATCCGTTTTTCAAAGGTGAAATTTGTGTCAAATTTAACCGCTGAATTTTTGCGTGTGACTTAATAAAAGGCTCAGGACTGTGCAGGTTAAAATGAGAAGTGCTGGGATTGCCACTTGGTCCAAACATTATCACGTCAGTTTTGTTCTCATTAAAGTTAAGGAAGTTAGAGGCTTTATCTTCACCGAGACACTGAAGTAAGAGTTCTAGTGGAGCAGAACAGCTTCTCTTCAGTTTGTGCTGTCGGACGACTATTATAGTCCAATTAATTGACAAAAGAGATGACCAGTGTGATTATTTGTACTAACAGCTTAACTAAAAAGCTGGTGCTCAGGTGTGTTTGATTGATATTGAAGCTTGTTACTTAGGATTAATTAGCAGTCATCAGTGTCTTTGTGATGTACTGCTATTGTCTATGGACACAGCTTCTAGCAAAATTTAGTGGCATTAGCTGGCAGCTTTGCAGTCCACTCTCTTGCATATGGTCACTTCTGGCTCAAGGAAAACCATCATGGCAGTGGCCAGAATGCTAAAACAATGGCTTCAAATGTGACTTCCACAATTTCATTAAACTTCAAAAGGAAGCTGTCCTTTAAAATTCAGGAAACTGAACAAGTGGAGGACAAAGAAGAAATGGCTGTGCTAAAAGTGAACTATAGCAAGTGAGTATCTGAAAGTCATGTCCTCAAGAAATAGGGGGGGAAATCCAGCAAATATCTGACACAGGACCTGAGAGAGGCACCTGCCCCTTCAGTTTATCCATCTACTGTTCACTGAAGCCTCATCAGAAATGGTCTCAGTGGAAAGGTGGCTGTCAAGAAGCCACTCTTAAAGAAGGGAAATAGAGAGGAAAGTCTGAGGTATGCCAAATTACACAAGATCTCTACTGAAAGTAGGTGACAACATGTGTTCTCAAGTGATGTATCCAAATTAGAAATTTTTTGTTTAAGTAGTCATTATTGTGTATGGGGAAAGTCAACAATGAATGTCTACAGCCGTCTGCAAACATTTTGGAGGCTGTGTCATGGTTTAGGGTTGTATTTCAGCTAGTGGTGTTGGTCTTGTCAAAATTTATGGCATTATGAATGCACCAAAGTACAGCCAGATTGTGACCCACCATGTATTACCATCTGAAAAGCATCTGATTGTCAACAGCTTCTTTTTTCCCAATGGCAATGATCCCAAACCATGAAACTGTGAAAACCATACCCAGATAGGAAACATACAATGAAACAGTCATGGACTGGCCTCCTCAGATTTCAACCCTCAACATTATTGAAGCAGTGCAGGATCATCCTGACAGAGAACAGACCAAAAAGCAGCCAACATCCAAAGATCTTTGAATGTCTCTCAAGAATCCTGGGGAACTATTCCTTAAAACTACTGAAAGAAATGACAAGAAAGTTTGATTAAGAGAGTTCAGGCTGTGCTGAAGAATAAAGGTGATCAAACCAAATACTGACTTTTAAGCTCATTAGAATTATACAGATCTTATATACTCTATTCCCATGCGTGTTTTGCACGTTTCAAATTTCACTGGTAAAATATTGGGTAATATTTTTTTGTACCGTACTGAATTCCAGACCTTTGCATAGAGCTGTGTTTTTCACACTCTAACTTATTTCCATTAGTCCCCAGCAAAGGTGAGGTCAAATAAACACCAAGCTATGGACTAACAGTGTGCATTCTCATGTCTGTGCTTATCCTTCTCTTGCACTTGTTTTTATATTGCTGTCATATGCTGTCTGCTTTTGAAGGAAATGTATTTCTCTCACAAAACTGCCAAATTAGACAGCATGTCTGCATCCTAAAAAGAAAGACCTGTTTGTCCAATGTACAATCTCATAACCTCAACATTTTGTTGACACTGTTATTATAAGGAGAAATACAGTAACCTCATAAAAGTTGCAGCATTTACAGCAGCTATTAAACTCTGCCAAGTGGATCACGCAAGGAGGGAAATAATTGACATGTTTCAAGGAGAGAGGGGGGAAAAAACTAATAATATATTGTGTCTGTCTTTTCTGGAGGCCCTTTGACTTTGTGAGTGTGTGCGCTCTTTTGCCATACCTGGCAGTGTATGTAAAGTATAATCAAACCTTTCTGCTGTGCAGTCGCTTTCATTCTTTTGCCTGTCTTCCTTGTTGGCTGCCTAAAATGTGAGATGTTTTTCCCAGAACAACCTTTTAAAAAAGAAGAAAAAAAGCCTGTTCTAAGAAAAGTAGGCCACTTGGACAGATGACTGACACGGGTTTTGTGTGACACTGAAGCACTTTATTTCGGGACGTTTAGTGCATCATCTGTTGAAATTCTTCACCTGCTGAAATTTGTGACTTTGCTCGTCTTTATACAGATATTAGTATCTGTGGTTTTTTTCCACAGCAATGTGGAGCGGTTACGTAAGTCCACGCTGTCGTTCGGTGTTTTCAGCGAGTCGTACACTCTGATTAGAACGATAATATGAAATGTGACACAAGTTGTTCGGTTGTCATCTTAATTATTTATACACACCTCTGTTGGATGTGAAAATTGGGTTGTTGTGCTCTGCTGCGTGACAAATCTTTCATTCTTTCAGTGTCAGATGCAAGAATATAAGAACGATGTGAAAGATGTGTCCTCTCTGAATATTTCTATTATTTATTTTGCCACTGTTTTTAGCCTCCTATTTATAATTTAGGATGTTATACATTTGCGTGTGCTGTCTTTCCACGAGTTAAATGTATCGTCTCTCCTCATGGCGTTGTATTATTTGCTTTTTTTCTGCTTCATGTTTGACACTATTCCCCACAGGCTCTTCTCTCCAAACAAAAAACCATGTGAATTTCTTCACCCCTGCTTTTCTCTGTCTCTCCCCCACACCATGCTCAAATTACATGATGCTGTTTTGCGCCGGTGTGCCACAGAGACCGTGCATGAAATTTATTGGGCCCGAGTCCTGCCATTTGACACGCAAGATGTGGCTAACAGATCTTGTGCCATTTCCCATCTCCTCCAGCTCCCGTGTAATGCTGACCTTTCCTGCCTCAGGGCTATATTTAAACCGTGAGCACCGGAGACTTATGGCGGCATGGGAAATTTTGTTATCGACGCTCTCCATTTGTCTGACTTAATTCAGGCCTACTGTAGATCGAGCTGAAGCATGCCGTATATTTATACTCCTGCAAGGCAAACAAGGGCAGCGGTGACAAACCCAGCCATCAACAACTTAGTGGGGGTTACTCTTGGTGAAATATTCCTTTGAATTGCTCTTTGGAGTGTCGGGGAGATTGTGCCGTAGGTTGTGTTTACATTGCACATCACCTACTGTAAAGTGTGAGAGGAATATAGAGTGGGCGGGATGATATTCCATAAAGCAGAGAGTTGAACAGAGAGTCATACACAAAGGGACTTGGCATTTTGGAGAATCTCAGCTGGTAAAATGTCATAGATATCAACCTCAGACACATTCATCAGCCTTTACCATTTGTCGTCATTAGACCAGAAACCGGGTTGAATGAACTCACCGACACACATAAGTCACGACATCCGCACACGCTCTTTTTTTTTTTCAAGCCACCTGCTTAACTATTCACTCACGCTCTCTTTTTTTTCCTGCACGCTGATAGGCCTGAGATGGGAGTTCAGAGGGTGCTCCAGGTGGATCTGAAAATGGAAAGCTTCCCAGAGCCGATGGGCAGCCGCTGGATGGCCTGGCAGGTGGAATACCCGGCCAGTCGCGCTGCCACTCAAGAGGTGGAGACAGAGATCCGCCTGGCTCAGGAGGACGTGGCGGGCATCGTGCCCCTGGCCATGGTGAGTGATGCCACTTCCAGCTCAGTGCAGTGCCCAAAACATATAAATGGCTGGACTCATTACCCTGAATGCGTGTAGAAGATGCTGGTAATATGGAGCACCATATTGTAAATTCACACCAAGAATCAACATTTGCATATGTGTTTGCACGACAAGAAAGAAATGCATTGCAAAGACTTTTTGCCCTATTAATTATAAGCAGGATATCAGTATATTTATGACTGGTCAAATTAAAAAAAAAAACAACAACAAAAAAGATTAGATTCAAAGTATTAATAAACGAGCAAGGAGAATGCATTCGTGGTATACGGAGTGACATTAATTTAGCTGAAGCTGAATAATCTTTGATAATAGTATGTTTATATCAGTGATGCCATCCCAGGGGGAAGAGCATGTCAAATTATTCAAAATCTTTTCTCTGTCCAGTCTGTTGCTCTCAGACATGACAGAATTTAAGTTTAACATGAGAGTTTGCTTAAATTCAGCTTTTGAGGAATGGCCTTCCTCTCATCCTACTGCAATCCCTATTTAAGATCCTAAAAAATGCTCATTTTCTCTCACTGCTCCCTCACTCTTTATTTGACTGTAACAATCAGCTTTTGAGATAACGGTGAGAACGAAAGGAAAACTTGATTGGTTTATAAATGGGCTTGTGAAATGTAAGAACTTTGTTTCATTGATCAAAATGAGGCTTTGTCTCCTTGTTTTTCTTGTGCTTCTCCTGTTTTTTTCATCAAACTGGACAGGATGATTAATCCTAGACTGATTTCATTCGTTTTGCTCTTTATTTGTCCAAAGGGGAAGCTTGGGAGAAACAGCTTAGAAATGAGTAATCTCCATATATATCAAGATGATTTGTTTTGTAATGAGACAGAAAAAACAGGCTATAGTGAGCAGGATTTTTTTCTTTTTCCTCTGGGATGCTTCAAATAATGCGTCACAGACAGTTGCTCCTCAGCTGGGGTGGAAATTAACAGTATCATTGAAGCATTTTATTTTCCTTTTCCAGCTTTATATTTGATGCTTCATTACATTTCACAGAGAATTATTACACTTTCTAATCAATTGCATGTATCCGACAACAGGTTTTTGTATATACAAAAAGTTAAACCCATGTTTCAATAACAAACCTTTATATTTAACTAAGCTATTAAGCTATTCTGCATAATAAGCATTTTAACTTTTAATTCTTTAAATATATTTTAGTGATAATACAGATAACTGCATTTACTCGATTCTATTTTTTAACTTGTTTCTTTGTAGTGTATCTGCTTTAACTTTGCTAAAGGACTTCTAAACGTCTTCCATGACTGTTGTTTTGACAGCGAAAGCAGAGGCAATGATGTTTGCTCTGTGCTCACAAAGTGTGTTTAGGAGCAGGGCAAGAAGAGAGCATCTGTAGCTCCCAACAGGCCACAGTTGGAGTCTCAAGGCTGGCTCTGGCTTGAGGGTTCGCCCGGAGCTGTGTGTCTCCCTCAGCGAGGCACAGGTAGTCGGTTGTGTTGCTCATCCCTCGTCGAGGTTCATGCAAGGAGCATTTCATGCATCTTTGTAGCTTTGTTCAGCGACCCGGAGAACACGATTTCTGATTTAGATCAAGAGCGTTCAAGTGAATAAATGAGTGAAATCAGTTGTGTTGACAAAAGGGAAAGACATAGTGTCACAGTGGTGCTGATTACTAAAGCAGAGATTGCGTTTGTTTCTGATTCTGTGCTTCTGATCTGCATGATACAGACCTGCTTTGTCATTGTTATTCTGTAAGTATTGCCTGTAGCTGCGTAGATGATAGATGCCTGTGGGTGGCTGTTCCAAGATTCAGAGGAATTTGAGGCATCCTCACTCCCAGATCCAGTCCTGGGATAATTGAAGTTATGTTTTTAATGCTTCAGTATTGCTCGAGTTCCCTCTCTCACGCCCTTTTTTCATGTCGCTGATGCATGAACAGTGCATCTTCCTTACTCTAGGAAAACATGACTTCTAGTGGCATAAACTACAAAGATGATTTGCATGATTACTTTGCAAAAGCCTGTGCTTGTAAAAAAAGAGACCCCAGCAGAGATTTTGCACCCGCTCGCTCAGTGAACACACTGTAAATAAAATCTTTATTTGTATTATCTGATTGTATTTAGCTGTTGTGCAGGTCGTATTCTTGGCAGTATTGCCTTTATTGTTTTTGTAAAATGAAGTCTGTGAATGAGTGCACAAGCCTGCAGACACGTCCCTGCATTTTCACTCCACCCATTGTGCACAGAGGAAGGTTTTCACTGCTAAGTATAAATCACACATTTTATCACTGCAACAAAATGCATCTCAATTAACTAAATATTGCAATTATTTGCTGAACTTAGAGACCGAAGCCTTAAAGATTGCTAAGATGTTATGTGTCCCATAAAAAAGACGGTGCACTGTCTCTTCATTTGTGTGTCTGTGCCCTGTATGCACTGAAAGTCTTGATTTTTGTTTTCCTTACCTTGATTTTCTAATCTGTTCAGAGGGCTTGTCAGTGAGTCAGTGAAGCAGCTGCTATCATGTGTGAGTGTGTGGATAAAGTATATAAAAAAGGGCTGGTTTCACTGATCAGCCTATACCTTTGATACTAACATTTCTGACATTTTCATCATCAGAAATTAATTTTAAAATTTCTTTTGGGGACTTCTTTTTTCAAAATTTCATTTTATTTGGGTTCAGCACAAGACTGCACACATATTCTCTTTGCTTTGCTATTTCATTTTTTTCCATGGCCATCTCCCACACAGACTACAGCCAAAGGTGCACATCGACTCCAGCCACCCCAGTGGTGCAGTACTTAACACATAACGTAAATAGATGGAGATACATCCAGAACTCATTAACTCTCATTAACTGTATTTCTCTGTCCCCCCCCCCTTTTTTTTTTTCTCCCACCTGCATACCCACAAATACACACAGGCACGTAAGGCTTTTTGCAATCTGCATGCACCAGTATGAGAAAAGCACACAAGCGAGAAAGAGGAAGGCTGAATTAGATTACTTGGGATCACTGTGGCATGAAAAAGCCCAGAGATAAGTTCCTCACCCTCCTCCCTGCTACACTCTTCGCTGATAGAAAAGAGGAAGTAAGGTAATGTAAGAGCAATGCCATCAAACCCCCTTTACACACGCACACACCTGCAGGTGTGTCACCATCACCATCTTGCCTCCGAAAGGGAAAGCAAAATCTAATATCAAAACAAAACTGGTCTCTGCACATGGAACTGAAGTTGCCATTTTCACAAAAATGGAAAACGTGGAGCAGAAGTAGTCTTTAATGGTATGTGGGTTGCCCTAATGCTGCCAAAGCAGCATGGGCAAGGAATATCTGAGAGGGTATTATGATGTTCAGGAGGCCTCTATGGATTATGCCTAATGCTGGGGCTTTCCGCTCCTTTCCAATCTACTGCCCACTAGCCCCCTGCTTGATCCTGAGTTTTCAGCTGCTAGCCGGCTGCCTGCTACCTTGCTTTCTAATCTAGCCAACCAACACCCCATGTGTTAGGTTCGGTCTGGTTCATCTTTAGCCAAGTACTCCTAAGCTACTCTTAGTACTAGCCGCATCCACCCTTCCACGGACACTTTTATTCTGTGCCTTGAAGTTTGTGTTTGTGTGTGTTTTTCCTAATACTTGTGCATGCACTCACACTCTGATGAATGCATCTGGGGCAATTTGAGGTTCAGTATTTGACTGGTAGATGACCTCCTCTACCTCCTGAGCCACAGCTGGGCCTTACTTTTTCATCTCAGATTCCTGGGAGTCATATATTTTGAGACTGAGCTTACTTTCAAGATGATTTCTCAATAAAAAGTAAATGTCAGAACTCTCTCTGTCATTCCGCTTCCTGGTCAGTTGATGTGACCACTCAGAAATACAGAACAGTTTGTTTGGTCACCTTTATGGATGACATTCCTAGTTCAGCTGATGCCAAGTCGAGCCTGAGTTACTCACTTCTATCCCTGTTGCTAATCTTCTTCCTGGTTCAGTCAATGTCTCTTCTGTTCTTTCCTTTTCTTCTTGGGTTGGGTGAAACCTCCTGTTTTTTGACTGATGTCACATATAGTCCCAAGTCTTTATTCAGATCAATCCTGCCTTCTTTAGGCTCATGTTAAAACTGTCCTGTGGCAGTGTACAGGTCTGTTGGCCCTGCCAGTCTCACCTCTTCGGTTGCTTCTTACTATAATAGTGATACAGAAGCTCTTCTAAGAATTTGGACCACACGGTGCAGTCTTTGCTCGACAAAAACATCCATAATCCCACCAGTTATCCTTCTTTTGACTGCTTTTGTTAAGCCGCAGCATCTCAGGAACATCACACTGTTTTGCAGATGTTCTGATCCAGTCACTTAGCCATCACAATTTGTAACTTGTCCTATTTGCAACCTTTCCAAGTCACTTTAATCTCTATTGGCTTGCCCGGTTTACTTCCTTCCAAGAACTGACTGTTATTGTCTAAAATATCCCATGAACTGTCTTCTGTTCTGACATTAAATTGTTCTTTTCTCCTTCTCTGAGCACACAGCATCAACTAAAGGATACTTGGGTGAATGTATCAAGGAGTTTAACAGTTTAAATTATCTAACAGTCAGAAAGATTATGGTTATTCAGTTTCTCATTTGTCTCAAAACTAATTGTTAATGTTTATACACTTACATGCTCTTACATCTATCAGAAACACTGATACTCCTTCACAGTACAAACCTGACGGCTGACCAAATTTAATACAGTTGCGTTTTTAAAGGCACAGCCAGTAATTTTTTAGGTTATTTAATAGAAAATGTATATGCTCTACAAAAATATACATAGAATAGTGTTTCATTACATCTTCCAATAAACTGATGCATTCTCATAAACCCATAATTAATCTATTAAAAATACACAGAAGATTGTTTGCTGCTTGTGCAAGCTGCCATGATCCCCCACCATATTTGAGTACAGGACTTCTCCGTAATCACATTTATAGTACGTCAAAGGAAAAGACGTGCTGCAAA